CATAGGTTGTTGGCAGTTAGGTAGGAGAGAAGGATGAATAGACAATGCACAGAGAATTTCCAGAGCAATAAAACTTTATTATACTGAATGGCAGTACATGGCTGTTATGTCTCTTACATCTTTCAAACTCTCAGAATGAACAAATCCAAGAAAGAACCTAATCTCTTTTAGTGCCAGTCCACCAAGTATAGAGAGGAACTCCTGGGGGTTGTTTAGAGTGGGAGAGTGGGAGAAGGTGCACATGTGTGGGGTTAGGGTACTCTCTACACTTTCCACTGGACCTAAAACTGTTATATAACATTTGTATTAATTATATTAATTAACTCCCCAAATCCTTTAGGAAGCACAGAGGTCTTTGTGCACACAAGCATGCACTAGGGGAACCTGGAATGTTAAGCTTACAGGGTTGTTACTTCAAAGGAAAGAGCGCAAAACCTATTTTCCACCCAGAAAGCTGGAGCAGACCTGCTGTCTAGCCTGGTGACCTTTGTGAAATCTGTGTGGTCGAAAACCTTCTGGCACCAGTCCCTTTTCCAAATCCATTTTCATTAACTTGTTTTTCTTACTCAATCTATAGAACCTATCTTTATGGAAGGTATGATGTGTACTTTACAAAGAATGTCTATGTAGTCACGTCTGTAATTAGCTTCTTTGTATGTTTTGTTGTGGACACGGGATTGAGTTCATCATCAACAGAATAGTGTGTGTGTGTGTGTGTGTGTGTGTGTGTGTGTGTGTGTGTGTGTGTGTGTTGTTTGCTTGCTTGCTTTTCGAGGCAGGCTTTCTCTGTGTAACAGCTCTGGTGGTCCTAAAACTAGCTCTGTAGACCAGGCTGGTCTCGAACTCACAGAAATCTTCCTGCCTCTACCTTCCGAGTGCTCGGATTAAAGGCATGCGCCACCATCACCTGGCAACACAATAGTTTTCACCAGGTTGTGCACTGTTTAAATACCCCTAAAATAAACAACTCAGTGTCAGACTCCCAACGTTTGAGCCAACACTGGCTACTGCTGTACTGCACTGCCTTCTTGCCTCCTGTGGCCTGTCACTCTACTGCGGGTGAGGGCTGCAGAGACACCCATACAATACCCCATATACATTGTTACTATGCCTATTTACAGATGATCAGTAGAAATGATGAATAAAAATAAACTTCACAGATCCAGGAATCTTAATGAGCCCAAAGCAGATGAGACACAAAGAATACCATACCTAGGCACATCACTGCTGTATCTATTGAAAAATAAGTCTAAAGAAAAAATATTAAAAGCCAAAGGGTAACACACACACCAGGGCGGGGAAGTGGGGGGTTCGGGAGTGGGGGGGTAGTGACAACCAATTTATCATGAGAAACTATATAAGTGAGAAGGTCATAGGGCAATTAATACATTTAAAATGGTACAAGATGATAAAGTTGCCAACATACAATTTTATATCCAGCAAAAATACTTTAAAAATCTAAGCTACAATAAAGAGTATCTTAACCAGGCATAGTAGTGCTCGCCTTTAATCTCAGCACTCAGGAGGCAGAGGCAGGTGGATCCCAAAGCCAGCCTTATATACATAGTGAGTTCCAGGACAGCCAGACATAGTGAGACCCCGTAAAGTATCTTGGTATTAATTGATTAATTTTTCAAAAAAATTCTTGTTAATGAATGTTTTGTCTGCATGTATGTATGTGCACCATTCGCATGCAGTGCCCATGGAGGCCAGAAGAAGGCACTGGGTGACTGTGAGCCACCATGAGACTCTGGGAACCAAGTCCAGTTCCTATGCAAAATCTAATAGCAGGTACTCTTAACTGCTGAGCCATCTCTCCAGTCCTGGTTCTTTGTTTGCTTGCTCTTAATTTTATTTTTATTTTATGTTCTTTGGTATTTTGCCTGCATGTGTATCTGTATGAGAGTGTCAGAAGGCCTGGAGCTAGAGTTACAGACAGATGTGAGCTGCCATGTGAATGCTGAGAATTGAACCTGGGTCCTCTGGAAGATCAGTCAGTGCTCTTAACTGCTGAGTCATCTCCCCAGCCCCCGTTTGTTTTTTACGGTGGGGTTTATAGCCTAGGCTGGCCTAGAACTTACTATATAGCCCAAGCTGGTCTTAAACTCTTGGACCTTTGGCCTCAACCTCCCATATATTAGGAATATACTTTATTATTTATTTAGTTATTCATTTTTCTCAGTGCTATGGATTGAACTCAGGGTCTCACAAATGCTAGTCAAGAGCTATAACACTGAGTAACATATTCATCCCCTAAAAACAGTTTTAGATAAACTGTTGTGAGGAGACTCAAACTATGAGAAAAGTTAAAGGATGTTCTTTAATCTAAAAAGAAACACTATCAGTAGTGTATTGGTTAGTTTTTATTGTCAACTTGAAACAAACCAGCACCTGGGTACACAGGCCCTCAGGTGAGGAATTGCCTCCATCAGATTGGCCTGTGACATGTCTGCAGGGGCACACTGGTTGCTAATTGATATAGAAGGGTCCAGCCCACTGTGGGTAGTGCCACCCCTAAGCAGGTGCTCTGGGATATATAAGAAAGTTGGCTTGAGCATATCCCAGTGAGACCAAGCCAGTAAGCAGTATTTCTCCATGCTCTCTGCTTTAGTTCCTGCCCTGAGCTCGCACCCCTTTCCTCAATGACGGAACCTGTAAGTCAAATGAACCTTCTCTTCCACAGGCTGCTTTTGGTTAGGATATGTATTGCAGCAACAGAAAGCTAACTAGCACAGACAGAAGTCTGGACCTACAGAAAAGTATAGTATTAAAAATGATATACTATCAGTAAATTTAAAAGACTATAGCCAACCCTCTCTATTCACATGGAATTAATTCTCCTGTGGGTACCAAAATCCACAGGTATTCAAATAAAAGGCTTAGTCTTTGCATGTAACCTGCAGGTATATAGAGGAGTTCATCTGACCTCTACTTTAAGAACTAATAAGAACTGAGCCTGATGGCACAGGTATGGAATCTCTGCTATTCAAGGGGCTGATGCAGGAAGATCACAAGCTCTTGGACCTGGGCTTGCATGAGCAATTTAGTCAGACTCTGTCTCAGAATGAGGGTAGAGTGGGGGCTGGAGAGGTGTCTCAGTGGCTAAGAGCACTTGCTACTCTTCCAGAGGACCCAGGTTCAGGTTTCGTACCAATGCTGGGTGGCTCACAACTGCCTGTACCTCCATCTAGGACATATGACACCCTCTTCTGGCCTTCAAGGATCCCCCAACCACCACACACCAGAGGTATACACTCATACATATATACACAAAAATAAAAATAAACATTAGTAAAAAGATGCAACTTTTTTAGTAAAGGGATTAACTCAGTAATAAGAGTGCTTGCTTAGCATGTACAAGGCTCTGGATTTGGTCCCCAGTAACCAGGAAAAAAATAATGATTTAAAAAATCTGTACATGGTCAACACGGGTTCGGTTTTT